GTATGGACTCGTGGAATCTACGCTTAGCCTGATTTCGGAGTAGTCCATTGTGCCAGGGCACATAGATTCTGAGACTCCAAGGCAAGGTCAGTCTTCCCTGTTCCCCCAGGTGATTTGCCAGTTCGAGGGGGCAAAGGAAAGGGAGCAAAGGGCAAATCTAAAGTGCCTGGGCAGGAAGTAGTAGCATGTAGTAGCAAGAGTTTGTGCATTTCCCCTGTTTGCTTTGATTTCATTAGGCATTGGCATTGGGCAGGTGCTTGAGATTTGTGTGCTTGTGCATGTAGCTGGGTTCCATCTACAAAAGTTTCATGTTCATTGTTCAGTTGCATTCGAAGATTTCCCACTAGCACAACCGAGCGTATGGAAGGGCGCCCCCAGAAAGTGCTTTAGCTTGGTTTCGTTGGGAAATCACTGAGGGCAGCTTCGGGGGTGGCGAGGAAGGACGGGGCGAGCGAGGACGCGGTTCCTCCAGGTATTGAGATTACGCAATTTTAAAGCTGAGCCATCCGTTGTCGATGGGCCTTTGATGTACAGGTCTCACCCATCATTGATGGCAAAAGAGTTCATTAGCACGCCATTTTAGATGTATAGCATGTCCTGCCAATTCTTGGCATGATCTGCAAGACGATATTGCAATCACTCCTTTGGGGAGAGTTTGCTACCGCTACGGCCAAGCCTGACATACCGTGTCCCGAATCACATGTCCCAGAAAAAGAGTCTCGTGGCAGTGCATGCCAGTGGTGCGTCACTTCAATGTGCAGAATTGATCAGCAGTTGTCGCATCAACGTATTTGACTTGATGCAACGTTTATCCCAAGCGCATCAAATTTGATGTGCATTGTCAGTTGAACTGTAGTTGCTCACCACACGTGGTGAAGTCCCAATGCTGTCACTGTTACCCAAAGCTGTCCTTGAACCTCGGCTGACTTGTTTTGAATCTAGCATATAGTTTCTTGTTTTGAGTTTGGGTCCGATGTTGCCAAGTGCCCCAGATGCCTTGCTCTTTCATCACCTCGTCACGCTCCGAGGTCTTGCTCTATGTTTTGCCCACGATCGGGTTGAAGACGCAGACCATGCTGACAGCATGCACTTGCAGCTGCTGCGAGGCCTCCGCTCGATCATTCCTTCGGACAGGGCACAACGCAGTGATTTGCACCCCGCTCTTCGCCATAGCACAAGCATCCAGCTGCCCTGCAGAGTGCAATGATCTCCAGGAAGCAACCGCTAAGGCACTTCACAATGCCGCGCTGGGAGATGAAGAAAGTGCAGTGGACTACTCGCGCTTTTGCTTACAAAGCTGTAGTCCTCCTGGTGCGAAGCAAAGCCTTTGTACTCCTAGCTTGCCGCTGCCCCTTTTGGACACCTCCTTGCTTGCCAAGCCTGAGTCAACAGCCCCAGAGACAGGGACACTGGTGGCAGAGGCTGAGGGCAAAAAGGCGTCCGCAATGGCAGCGGAAGCGAAAGTTGCTGCAGCAGAAGCAGCAGCCGCAGCAGCAGAGGCCAAAGCAGCAGCAAACTTGGAGATGGCTCAGAGCAGAGGCTCATTGGCTTCAGAGATCACTGAAGAACTGAAAGCCAGTGCAGCTCGAGCTGCCATGTATGCCAACAGCGCCTCAGAATCGGTCAAGAAGGCTGAGAAGGAGCTACAGGAAATGAAGGATCTTCCAAAGAAGGCAGCGGAAGAGGCAGCACAAGAAGCTATTCGACAGCTCCAGCAGGAGGATGACACAAACAAGAAAGTCTTGGAGACATTCCAGGCACATGCCACACCTACCTTGCAGCCTCCATCAGCTGCAGCAGCCATTGCCGCGTCCCCGTTCAGGGCAGCAATTCGTGAGGCCGAACAGGTGCAAAATGTCTATGAACAAAGAGCCTCCCAACTGAAGTCCGAGGCTGACTTGTTGCGAGCCAGTTCTGCCAGTGTTGGAGACCGCTTGGATGCCTATGCCAACAACAAGGACTTCTCGCGAGTCATCCGAGCTCAGTCGCATGACTTGCTGGTGGAGTCCTTGAGGAAGGAGACTGAGGCAGCCAAAGCCATGGACGATGCACACCGTGCAGGACGACCCATCCCCAAACTGGAAGCGGCAGCGGCCACCGCGGCGGCGAGGGCTTCGATCTTCGGCACGTGAGTTGGGAGCGTGGGTCAGGCACTGTTGAACATCAATTGTCCATTGTTATTATATTATACTTATTTTGTTCTAGTTGTTGGATTGACACGCCAAACAGCTGTTAAACAGCTTGATGGAGCACAGCCTCTTTGCTTGTGTTGAGAGTTTGCACAGTCTTCCAAGTTTGAAGTTATCAGTTATCAGCTTGGCTTATTCGGGCTCCTCCAAGAAGGATGCCGCCAACATGTCCCAACCCATCCTATCCCCGTCCCACATTGCCCAGCTGAGGATTTTGGAGTCCAGCAAGTGGATGCCGCCCAGTTTGGGCCCCATTCCTGTCATGGCAATGGCGCCTGCACCATCTCCAGCTTAAGATCGGAGCTTGGCCGGCTATCGGAGTAAAACAACCAACGTGAGTGGTGACTCTTCTACGCACATACTTTAGTGGTTTGGAAAACCGTTACCTTCACTAGCTGAGTTCCTTTCTAGTGTGAGGGATCCTGAATCGAGAATCTTGTGTGTGCGTGTGGCAAGGCGTCAAGCTTCAGCAGTATTGTGCAGAGAATGAAGGAGAAGATGCTATGCTTGTGCGTGTCTTGCCCCACTGCAGCATTGGGGCTGAGTCGGCCGAGTGTAGGGATTAGACTCAGACAATGAAAACAAAGGGTTCACAATTAAAGAGCACATAAAGATGTATGAAGTGCCCATGCAGTAGGCCACAGGAATTTGCAGCCGAATGGATGTTTGCGTCACATCAGATCTGGCATCCGCTTCGCTTCACAGCAGTTGCGCCATTTGAGCCACCCATCATGGAGGCTCGGGGCAGTTGATAGGGATCCAGGGCAGTTGATCTCTTCGTGACGGAAGTAATTACAGCCTGTTGTTGTTGGACCTTGCAGCACCTTTTTTGCCACTAACAAGAAGCTACTAGGGGCTCCTGGCCTTACTACTAGGAGCAAGGACGCTACTAGGGGCTCCTGGCATCGCTACTAATAACAAGAAGCTGCTAGTAGTTTCATTCTTCTGGTGAACCAGTGAACATCCGTTGACCCACGGTGCCCGAGGAGGTCAGTTGGCCTTGGAAACACCCCGCACGACAGGGGACTGTTGTGCCCCAAGGTGAGCAGAGCGAGCTTGGCATCAGCGCCCGTGTATGCCCCGAGACCCAGCACAAAGGTGAGACACCTCAAGATCAGGCGGGCTTCGTGTTTGGCCATGCCGTTCAGTGTTGTGGTGCTTTGGGTTCGAGAAAGCAAGCACTACTAGTAGCTTCTTGTTACTAATAGAAATGCACCTGTTTCTAGTAGCGTCCTTGTTACTAGTAGCTTCTTGCCACATGCTTGTCCCATGTGGTCCTGCGATGTCCTGCCGAAACGTCGGAAATGTCATGCTTCACGTACATGGGAGGAGAACAAAAAATGAGACCAGCATGTAGCAGCGAATGGGTGTGCCGGACATTTGTCTTCGGGGACTGTTGGTGTGAGGGCATTGGCACCAGCACCGCAGCAACCTCTTCAGGCGAGTTCCGATGTTCCACCTAATGTATGCAAAGTTATTCGGAGAGGTAGTTTTGGATAGTTTTGGCACAGTGGAGCAGGCGACCTTTCCAAGAAGTGCTTCGAGCCGTGCTGCGCCAAGGGTGAAGTCGGTTCAGTAGGTGCAGCGGAAAAAGGCATCGGAGCACATTACGGGCCTATTTGCTCGGCACTTGCTGAAATGCAGTGGTCACAAGATTTGAAGGCCTTGGGGAGAGGATGGAAAACTAAAGATAATTGACTAATCCGTTTTGGTGCTGGGGATCCCAGAAGTCACTTGTTTGATCATAGTCGGAGCTCAACATTCCTCGTTGAGTTGGTTTGGTTCCAGCTGTTGAGGTGTTGCTGCTGCTCTCACGGTTTCAATGGTGACGCTTTGTAGAAGAAGAGTTCTTGCCTTGGACTTCACACTCAGCCTGAATGCTATGTGATTCTATATGTGTAGCAATTGCTACTCAGTTCGCTCATGAACCGGTGATGTCATGTTGAGATCTGGCATTTTTGACCTTTGCGCATGTGCAAGTTGCAGTTCACAAACAAAGAGCTCGCTCGATATTTGTTTTTGCTCCTTGAGACTTTTGGCCCAAGCCATTTGCCCCTGGGATGAATCGTGTCTCCCTGGGCCCCAATCAGAGAGTCCGGATCGCAGCTGGCAGTTGTACCTTAGGGGGGTGTCGGATCAAGGAGAATGGGCAGGGTCCAAAATAATCCACTGCATGGTCAGTGAGATGCTGGGCGTATCTTCCTTGCACCAGAAAAACCATGAGTTTCGTAGGAGTGCGAAGGCCCGTTTGCAGGACAAATGCATGCGCAGGCTTGTGTGTTTCAACTTCGCTGATGCTTTTGGCCACAAATCTGAGCCCTTCGGCTATCCCTTGTCTAAGACATCTTCGTTCCGGGACACCTGAGGTCCGAAAGCAACCATTGCATCAATGGAGCGGCAAGGGATGAGAAACACCCACATATATTGCCGTTCTCGTGTCCGTCATGCGTGGAACGATATCAACTATATAGTCACTACAACCCCGGAAAACCACGGACATTCCTATCCACAAGCTGCACATAAGGTCCACGCAAGCCTGTTCGCAATTTGAGTGGCCCACAAGTAGGGATTTTTGGCCAAGGCAGTTGAGCAGGCAGGACACGAACACAAGATGCACACAGAAAGCTGCATGGCAGGTCTTGAGCTTTAGGTGAGACATAGGTGACGAACACATCACTGACCCCAGGGTCACCTATACTGTACGTTGGCCTGCCAGAATGCCAGTATCCTATGTAAAAACTGCACATCTCAGAATACCGAGACATTCAAGATGCTTCAAGCCACCAACCTTCGAAGCAATTTCGAGGTCTGATGATCGCCAACAGCGCGCCAGATGCCAAGGGGATGCATGACCCGGACACTGGGACATTGGTGACCTCATGCACCAATTGAAGAACTCAAAGGAGTCCGCCATCACCTTGAAAGTATGCGAGTTATCCGTATACATCCGTATACCATAGTTATCTTAGAATCCCCGTCTTGAAAGGCCGTGATGGTGTAGGCTTAAGAGGCCAAACTTCTTGTCAGGCCCGGTCAATCCCAGTCATATAGGTTACATCCTTGGTCACATTGAAGCTTTATTTATGGTGCCCCCGTCAGGGCTCAGATTGATGACGAGCTGGATGGGAACCTGGATGTGGATCCAGATGAGATCACAGAGGTGCGCTTGCATCCAACACCTATGTTGGACCTTCGGTACCGGTGAGGTAGTCACGGGTAGTCTTATGCTTCGGGTGCAGAGGTTCACTCGGGCTTGGACTCCCAACGAAAAGGAGAAGTATCGTTTGTGATGTCAAATGATTTTGGTGTGTTTATTGTGTCAGTGGCACCAACCAACTCAATGTGCTTTTCGGCCAGCCTCGGATCCACATGTAAGGCTGACACACCCACATCCTCGTGCCAGGTGGAAGTAGCCCGACAAAAGATCCGTCAGCTGATGCATGAGCAGGAGAGGGCAGCTGATTACGAAGATCGGCTAGCCAGGCTGGATGGGACCGTGGTTCATGGGCCGATGTTCTTGCTGCACGTTCGCCGGACCGTGTTACACGTTCCCGGGGTGCTCAGTGGCTGTGGAAGCTCGGCAGGAAGCTCCAGAAGCTGGATGCGGATTTGGCCTCGAAGAGGGAAGAAGTGGAAGGTCTACAAAGGCGAAATGGACAAGTCTCAGTCATAACGACGCAACACCCTTGTAATTTGGGGTCGTTTTAGGTGCTTCCCATGGAAAGACCCCCATGGCTTCCCGAAGCCACAGTCAGAGAAGGTCTTGACTGCTTGGCAATTGATTACAGATGAGGGGCGGTTTTTCTTTCGGTTTAACATGAAGCAGCTCGGCTTGATGGTGCCTGCGTATGAGGAGCCTGAATCTTGAACGGAATAAGTTCGCCGAGGACCGGCAGATGCAGTGTTGTGGTAGTATACTTCATTTTATCAGCGCTGATTGCAGCCAATTTGATTGCAGGAATACTTGAGTGAAAAGCGGGAGCGTGAGACAAAGGCAAAGACTCAGGAAGAGCGGATACGAGAATACTTGACAGAGGCTGGAGCTGCCGTGTTGCGCACATTGCTTCGTCGGGGGAGTGGTAGGTCTTCTGATGGATCGTGACTGACAGGTGCTGTACGCGAAACCCAAGCAGAAAGACAAGAAAGCTGAGTTCAACCTGGATACTGTTTTAGTGACACTTGCCTGAAATGGATCTTTGTTCCAAAGGCATGAGTGGCAGTTGAGTGGCAATTCCTTCAATGGAGCACGGAACACTGCCGCGTCTCATGGCTCAGGTCTTTCGTCAAGATGAACGAAAGTTTCAGGTACAATCTGGCCTTCAGGGTGGACTCAGGCTCGATTTGAGACGTTTGGATATGGATATGGGCGTGAGACAGCACCCATGATGCGTTTGCTTGGGGATCGATTCCTGTTTTGTTAAGAATGTCCAAAGCGCAAAGCCCCCCTTTGGAGACCACTTAATAATACATAGGATCCATTGTGGCATTCGTCCAGGAACGACTATAGCCCAGCTGCGGAACAGTGCCTGCAAGTCCTTGAGCTCAGTGTAGTGTCCTCTCAGAGGAGAAGCAGTCTTGTTAGTCATACCGATACCTTCAAAGGGCCCGAAGCCTTCTTCTACAAGTGCCCTTGTTGCTAGGAGGCAAGGGTGGTTGAGGCCAAACCCGCCACCTTGAAGTAAGAGCTCTTGGAAGGGTGTATGTGGTCCTTGACTGTGGGGTATATATGTGTGCTTGAGTTTGTCCCATAAATGTCCGAAGCGTTTCATCAACACATTCACTGGATAATATATTAGTATATATTTATATATATATATAGGTTGGTCATTGTCTTGGTTGGTTTGTTTTCTATGTTGGTGTTCAATCCTTGTTCCTTGCCTTTGTCGTTTTTTTCTGGGGCGTTGTTATTGGTGGTTCAGGGTCATAACTTTCACCCCATCAGGTTTGAATGAGGGGGATAATAGTTGAGCCTGTTTGGGTCTTAGGTTGGGGTTTGGGTCTTTGATGTTTATCCTGTCTCCCTTCCATGAGTGTTCAATGCCTGTTGTTCTCTAATCACTCGGGCCCGTGTGCCTCGATCACAGAAATCTCCCAATCACAGAAATCCATGTCCTTCCATCGCAGAACTACGTGGACGCCATTCACTAAATCCATGTTCCTCGATCACAGGTTCTTGTGATGATGACGATTTCGTGTGGTGTCAGTCTATGTTTGTAAAGCACTAGTTTCATCATCAAGACCCCCGAATTATCATGAACTGTCCTATGTGTGAAGTTTCTTGCCTCCAAACCAAGGTCTTCATATTTTGGGGGGCATGTTCAATTGTTTCGAAGAAAATTACATTCTGCCACCCATGGCCCCATGGCATGCTTCGATGGATACCCGATGCTTCTGCTCCAGCAGTACTTCAGAGACGTGAAAGTGAGGAACACAGATGTACCAAACTGCCAAGGGCAAGAGCATGGATTTCACCGGTGCACATTCTTTGCATCATGGAAAGGACACCTCCAGATGACAAGGTAGGATGGAACAATGCATAGCAATGCACCACCTGTTCCTGCTCACAAGCAGTGTTTCCACTGTCAGCTTTAGAGCTCCATGCCTCAAACTGGTCGTCGGGCTGGCGCTGGGGGATTGGTCTTGGACAAGCGCCGTCATTGCCACACAGCATGCCCATCGAGTCACGTTGTTTTGTTCAATCAGGCACGCGAAGGTCGAGGCTGGGCTAAGTGGTCAACAAAAGCTGCATAAAGCGACCTTTCGAACGCTTACCGTGCAAGGTGGAGGTAGAACCTGGTAGGAGACCTCCAGCCCGAGCACTACCAGCGACGCTTGCATGCTGACTGGAGCATGGTTCCCCATTCACGCAAGCGGGTTGGAGGATGCTAAGGAGAAAGGTATGAACATGGAGGACCGAAGATGACGAAAGGGAAGGCAACAAAACGCATTCTGTTGATGATGCATCAAGCATGCGGAATTATCCGAGCAAAGACTATACCGAAGCCGAAGCTGTTTTGACAGAAGCTTCCAAATGGAGCACGTTTAGTCACATGTGTCCAAAGCGTGGTCTCATACAACGTATTTGACAAGTGTGGTCAACAGTGGTAAGAGGGATGCGGCCCTTTTCTTTCCTAAAGGTATCTCTGAGCTTTGAGAGATCACGACGCTCAGACAGAAGGATGCCTGCTTGGAAAATGTCATCTCTGAGTTGAAGCATGACTGCGTCACCATCATCATTGATGAGGCGGACCACGCTTGGCCAGCAAATGACAATGCGGAGAAGAAGGAAACTGCCAAGGCAGCTCTGTCACAGATGACAAAGAATACAAAAGAGATCAAAAGAGAGCCAGCAGGCTTCGGTCACCCTCATTTCCAGTGAGCGCGACTACTCCTACAGGCCCTACAAGTTGGCATTTGCAGGACTAAATCTGCAGGACCCATTGCCCAAGAAGTGTCCCCTCACTTCATGTATGAGTTGTTCGTCAAGATGTGGCAGATCTTTTGGTGGCAAAGAAGTGTTTGCCATTTCGTTTGTGAGGAGGATGCCCGCGAGCACCTCACTAACATCGCTGTGGATGGGTTTTGACTGATCATGGCCTTCAAGAGTGATGAGGGCGCGCAAATCGCCTCACCAGAGAATGTCGCACGCATCGTCGCACGGAAAGCAAACGAAGCCTGGTTTGTGGAAAGAAGTCGTCGGGGAGACTAAGAAGAACCTGGTGTTTGCTGCTTCTACGCGTCATATCCGATTGGATGATTTGCGAAGCAGAGATGTGCTTCAGTTCTTTTGACCAAAGACAATCCGGAGCCTCTTTTTTGGCCACTCAATATGCTCTCAAGCCTCTGCAGGGCACTTTTTGACGCAGGTTTCATGTGAATAATTCAGTTTGCGGTTCTTTTCAGGATTATCACTGACACGCTTCTCGACCAAAGCCTGCGTGGCATGCCTTGCTTTTTGGCAGTGTTTCACGGAAGGACCAGAAGTTCCTTGAAGACCTACAGCCCTTTTGAAAAGAAAACCATTGCGTTCAAGATGCCACGTCCTGATGCGTGGCCTTGAATTTCACAAGTTTTCCAACAAACAACCTTCAGAATTCAGACCTTGAAAAAGGAGAAATGCATTGGCAAAAGTCAATATTAGGCATACTTCAGTAGCAAAGAACAGATTGCTTGGCTCATAGTCATAGTGGCTCGATAGGGCCCATCTTGTGGAACTTCACCCGGTGGTGTCGTTTGTCTGATCCGCATTGCTAGCTCTAGCCACCTGAGGTATTGGGGTGTCAGCTCCGAGCACTTCATCTTGCACCTTGGCCGAAGTTTTTGCAAAGACTAAACCATTCAACAGGCATCCATGCAGATGGAGTTGGCACTGGCAAGCCTTGATTGCCCAGGCGGACAATGGCCAACAACAAATGCCAGGCAGATTGAGCAACACGAGCAGTCCGGTAGGAGCAAGGACGCTACTAGGACCTTAGGAGCAAAGGGCATCGCTACTAGGAGCAAGGACGCTACTGGCCTTACTACTAGGAACAAGAGGCTATATAAAATACAATTATATAGTTGAGTTAGCAGAATACATTTCTTGAAACTGGCTGCGCGTACGCTAGTCCAGGTAGAGTGATTGGTCATGAACTGGCCAGACTACTTAAAAAGCAAACAAAGTTTTGGGATGGTTTGCAATGCGGTGCATGAGATCCACCAATATCAATCAAATCGCTGGACGCATGGATCGCGAAAGGATCCAACACATGCATATTGCGCACGTTTTCGGATCCAATGTGCCGATCAAGCTGTGTTGCATATTTGCCATGGATTTTCCATAAGTTTATACTTACACTTAAGGGTGTTTTGAAGCGTCACTGAGCGGGCTCGGAGTGGTTACGAGCGTGCCAAGCGCAGGACGATAACAAAGTCAAGGACCTGGGATGTGCATTGTTCGGTTTGTTTTGTATTTGTAGATCCTACCTGCAGGTGTCATGTAGATCCGCCATCGTACCACATCGACACACTGGACAACGTCTGCCAGATTTGGCCAGGACTGTTTCAAGCAGGGTGAGATCGCCCAGCTGCGCCTTGAAATGAAGCGAGAGAGCACTGAGCCACCATCGGAAGAGGAATTGAAGGCACAGAAAATGCGAGCCTTCGCTTTGCCGACTTTGTCATCGTTGCAGATCATTCAAAGCAACTCAGATCATTTGGCTGGTCACTTTCCTGTATGGTAGGCCATTCAGCCAAAGACCAAGAAACGGTGGCGGCCTAAGTGCATCCAGGCCCTTTCCTCATTCCACAGGCTTCTCGCTGCCACATACCCAACCGAGGGCTGGTCGTAGCAAGAGTGGCAAGCCTCGATACAACGCCGAGGGGGTGGCTCGTCATGGGTGAAGTGCGTCAACAGTTGCCTGCGATTGTGTTTGCCAAGCATGTCCTTTGCATCGGTTTAGTTTATTGAGTTGATTGTATTGGCCTTAATTGTTTGTTGTTTGTTAAGGTCGAGCAGATCCAGAAGTTTGGCGACAACTATGCCAATCAGTTGAAAAAGATCCTCAGCTGCCAGCTTCAAAGGGTTAGAATCTGAGCAGTTCCTGATGCGTGGCATGCACTCAAACTAAGGATGGGCGGAGTGTACTTTTTGCTGAAGCTTCGCGACAGCAAACCATCAGAGCACGCGGGCAAAATTAATCTCCGAAATATCCTGATCTATACTGTCCTAGTGGCTCGGCTGGGTTTGCTTTCAGCCCTTTGCGCTTGTTGTTCTCAGCCTTGTTTGCTGCCTTTCTGTGGAGAAAGCACTCCAAAGATCTCCATCCGACCATCCGAAGGGAATGCAACCAGGGACACCCAGGGGCCTCGAGAGAGAGAGCAAAAACCTAGAGGTGACCCTTTACGCCAAAAGGTCAGGTTATACTTATATAGGTGGGAGGCCATCGCTTTCAGGTTGGAGGCAATCGCTAGTAGGTTGGAGGCCATCGCTCTTCGGTTGGAGGCCATCGCTCTTAGGTTGGAGGCCATGGACTGAGCTGGACTGAAGGACCCTGTGGGCACATCTGGGCACTTTCCAGGTCATAGGAATGATCTTCATGGAGAGAGTGCGAACAAATAAAAGGTACACAGAATGGATGGGTACGCTGTGGTCCCCAATTATGGGAATTGTACATAATATGGTACATAGGCGTATGATTATGATGTATGCTGTATTGTATGTGTATCAAAAACAGTTTCTCCGTCATCGGACTCTTGCACCACATTCCAGTGTTGTAGCTGGACAGGTGGTCAGTCAGTCATGAGCCTGAAATGCTAGCTGCTAGCACTGCTAGCTCACAAAGTCGCATGCTCACTCCACCCTAATAGCGAAGGCCTTCACCCTAAATCGAAGGCAATTACTGATTCAGCTTCCCTTCCTGAAAGTGGCCTGGGTTATTGCTCAGGTGGTTTTGTCAGCCTACGTCTACATGGTGCGCCGGCCGGTTGGAGAAGCCTTTTGGTGTGCCACGGGCGTGCAGGACTCGGGGCCACTTCGGCTCGAAGAAGTTCCGTCGAAGAAGTTCGTTGTC